TATTCTGCACATGCCCAAAGCTGCTCTCTTCATCAGTTTGGTGTAGTGGTTAAGTGCACGGACTCTAATCTGGGCGAACCGGGTTTGATTCCCCACTCCTCCACTTGCACCTGCTGGATGACCTTGGGCAAGCCATAGCTCTGGCAAGAGCTGTCCTTGAAAAAGAGCAGTTTCTGTCAGAGCTCTCTCAGCCCCACCTACCTCACAGGGGGTCTGTTGTGGGGAGGGGAAGGGAAAGGAGCTTGTAAGTCGCTCTGAGACACCTTTGGGTAGTGAAGGGCGGGGTATAAATCCAATCTCCTCTTCATCATCATCATCATTATATCTGCAGCCCAGCTGAGAGCTGATGCCCTGGCACTGTGACCCTGTTCTTTTCCTCCCTGCAGGCACAGGCTACCCAAAGAGCAATGGTGGCTGAACCTGCGCTTGATGCTGAAGATGCTGGCCCACTACCAGATCAGCCTGACCGAATACGTAACTGGGAAGATGGAGCATGTCACCCGGCGAACACTCAGCATTGAGAAGGGATTCTAGCTATAACCTTTTCTCTCTCCTCCCTTTCACCGCCAGTTTGCTGTAATCCCACACCCCCTCCCTGGCCTTCTCAAGCCTTTTGAGTGCAGTGCTGGTGCCACTAAGAGCCTGCAGGAGAGTGGCCGGGGGCAGTCTGGCTGTCTCCTGGCCCAGGGCAAGGAGCTTCATTCTGCCTATGAGGTGGGGGGGAGGGCAGGCAGGCAGGCAGGATTTCCTTGGTAGCAAAAGTGTGGATACAGGCCTTGGAGCCCATTCCAATTTCAGAGGCTTTTGTTTTATTCTTCCACTTCAGGTGTTCCTTTAGGCACCTGATGAGTCCTGTTACGGCCTGAGAACTGCTGTTGGCCACTGTTGCGTCACCCAGCAAAATCTTATCTCGCAGGTCTTTCGTCTGCATGTTTTGCCCATGAAGTAGCAGCAACTGTCAGAAGAGCTCTTCTCTTCCCCTTCCACCAGGCTCTAAGTGCCAACTAAGCAAGAGCAGTGCGTCTGAATGCTGGGTTGGGAAGGCAGCATGTTGTGGCTTTGTGTGGAAAATGCTCTTCTCCATGCCATTCTGGCTTAGTGTGCCTGATTCATTGTCTGTGTCTAGTGCTGTGGGAGTGCCACCAACAACTCTGTGGCCATGTTGTGTCTGCACTCTCCCTGATGCAGTTCTGTGACCTCAGTATCATGTAATCCACCTGTGGTTGTCTGTAGCAATTAAAAAAAATCACTGAATCAAACCTGTGTGTTGGCCAATTCTGCTTCTGGTTGGGGATCAGACTCTGACTTCACAGAATGAAGTGAACTAATTATGTCATGTTCTGCAACTTTAGTGTAAAGGAGAAATCAAGTGGCAGATAGTGGGAGTTTATAATGACGACTGTTCTGGCACAGGCCTGTTGGTGCTCCAGGTAGATACTAAACTCCTCCCTGCACAATCCCATGCCTGCTTTCTGCTACAGGTGGAATACTGCTTCAGTGAGGTTAAATGATATCTGGAATAGCAGGAGATCTTGGTGCTGGCTGGATTTGTTTACTGCCAGGTATAATCAAAGGTACTTTTCAACACCTGCTTCAAGCCAGAGCCTAAGTTTGTGCCAAGTGCATACCTTTGCACTTGTCCAGGCAGGGAGTGGCGGATGTTTTGATGCGTGTACTACCAAAACAAGCAAGGCCGGTCCTGGTAATATTGTAGTACAGTGCACTAGGTAAGTTAGCATTGTTGAGTAATAGCACACCATGCCACCACAACTCGTCTGCCAATTCCCTCAGGGCTAAGAAGCATGATGTTTGGGGGGGAAATTCATGAATGGATCTTCCTGGTCTTTTTTAAAAGAGCAATAGTTGCCATAGAGCTCCAATTCAGATTGGAAACGAAGTGGGTAGGTGTTATCCTTTCTTTCCTGTGCGGTTTTGCCAATCTAAGTCTTTTTAAAATTGTAGGAAACTGTTAACAGACTCCCAACATTATATCTGTTTTGGTCCTTATGTTTGTTCCAGTAAACAGGAAATGCTAGAACTACTAGCAGGCTGTGGTCACACACACTAAATAGTGTACTTTCTAACTGGATTTTACTGTGTGAACTGGCAAAATCCAGTTGGAAAGTGCATTGAAAGTGGATTGTTTAGTGTGTGATGGCAGCCGAAGATACTATTCTTGGTGTTAAACTATCGAGAAGTATTGTCCCTGGGCCTTGGTAAGCGGAAAGTCTTTTTGTTTTCTAATTACTTGATCCAGGTCTCCTTGGGAAAGAGGGAAAGCGCCAAGGCTTTGAACAGAGTTCTCAGCCGTATCTACATAGAAACAGGAAGGCTCTGTAAAAATAGTGTATCTTTATTAGCCCTCACTAAGTCCCGTAAATGTACCAGAATGGAGTCTGAGCTGCACCCATCCTGATAGCCTTATTGTCTTGCAAGTAGAAACAGCCTAGCCTTAGCGCTGAAAACACCTCATACTCAATTTCTGAAGCCTAATTTTCATACCTCCATTAAAGTTTTCTACCATGAAATCTCCTTTCTGAAGCTCTAAAAACCCCAAGGTTTCTAGTGTGTGCTCATCTCTTCTTTCAGCTACCAGTAGTCCACTGTCAAGTTCCTGCCTGCTGTAACATCTATATTCTACTACAGTGCAGCCAAAGCTATTGCTGTCCTCCTTTCCATGTTCTCTTCCTATTTAAATAAAAGTAGCAGCTCTCTTATTTTCCTTTGTAACTCTCCTGGCATGCTACAGTGAGAGTTCATCACTCTGGCCCACCATGTTTAGTCAAGCCACAGTTGTTCAACCAACAGAGGCAGAGCTCATGCTCTGCATGTTCCTTTTAAACAGCATTTTCCCCTATACCTGTTCAGTACTATGAGTTTGTATTTCAAGACAAGAAGCGTAGCTTGCTTGTGTCAAAAAGAAGCAATCTTGGAAAAGGACATCATTGCAAAACCATTTTCCTCAGTACAGTTTTAGATAAATGGCTGAGGTAGACAGAAGGTTAAGAAATAAGCTATTTTTCTTTAATCGAGTTTGTATATTTTCTGCTTCCCAAAAAATGAAAAGCCTATATTTAAACACAGAACATTTATAACTGACATCCCATACTTTAAAAAATTCCCAGTTATCACTTATAAAGACAGCCTTTGGCTATCACTTCAACAAAATTTGAGCTTTTTCTGAAAATTATTACAACCATAAGACTGCCAGTTTTTACAGGCCGTTCTTAATACAAACCTCAAAAGAAGGGCAAATTAGAGAGCCATGAACTGTAGCTATTAAAATAAGGGTACAAATACATCTCTGCCAGTGCAGAGACATATGAAAGGCCCCTTTATGGCTCATTATCATGTATTGTGACTAATTTGAGACTCTTGGCCGCCTGAAAGAAGCTACCTTGGGACACATAACTAGAACTGATTCCCCCCCCCCCCTTAAAACTGAACTATTAAAAGATGTTTTTCAGCTTTGCAGTGGCTGGGCACAAAATAGTTTGTGCTCTTTTGGGCTAAAGTAGATGGACACTGACATGGGCGGGAGGGCCAAGCTCTATTATAAGGAGTGCAAGTACTGGGGGGGGGGGGTCCTATACTGGGGGCATTATCAGTATTCCACAGGGAGAATGCCAACTATAATTTCTGCTGTGACCAACTGTAGCTAAATGTTTTAGAAGGGGCTAAAAGTTACTTGTAGCACTCAGGATGATATTTTCGTTGAACACAGTATATTCTTGATTCTCTGTGTTCAAAGAAATTGTTCTCCTAAGTGTTACAAATAACTATTAGCTCCTTCTAAAACAGTTAATAACAGTTGATCACAGCAGAAACTGAAGTTGGCATTCTCTTTGTGGAACACTGATATGTGTGACTTGCTCTAGAAAGGTGGATAACCTTAGCAAATGTTACCTTTTGTTGGGTTAATCCTATAGCACATGAAGTAAGATTCCAGAACCCCTTTTTAGCTTTGAAAAGGTAATTTTCCATTGTTGGTATGTTTTCTGTCTGATTTCTTTCCTAGAGTAGTACAACTGACTAGCTGTACAATCACCAATCAAGGCAGGTATTCCAAGACACACTTTTTGCTTTTTAAAGTAGAACTGGACCCCTCTGAGCAATAGTGCTTCAGGAATACTAACAGGAGGACCAGCCATAGAAAGAAATGGCACTTTCTAACATAATACCATATCTCTCCATCACTGTGGTACCTAAAACAGCTCAATATTTCCAATACTCATGTTCATCTGCAGCTACTTTCTGGTGACTATCATTACTTTGAACTCCTAGTAGACTTCAGCACAAGCTAATCAAAATGAACACCAGGAAATCATTTATGCAACCAGACTGCACATTTTTAAAGCACCAATGCCTTGCACTTACATGCAAAAACATAAACCTTCAGTAGCTCAAGACCCAGAGCCAAGGTTGAGTGCTGAGGGTTCCGAGCTCACTTGGACCTGTGAGATAGCGGTCTATCACAAGCTCAACTGGAATTTACAATGGTAGATGACAAATGGTACATCCTTGAAAAGGCAACAAAAAATCAGTCCCATCTATAAAGAGGTGGATAACTTTCAGATCCTAACAAAGCATAATGAGGTGAACACACAGACACCCTACCTTCATGAAGGAACAGGATTCACAACTTTGCTTGTTGAGAAAGTTGTCCTTTCCTTGAGACAGGAACAAACTCCCTATTACAGGCTAGAAAACGTCAGTTTCTTAATATTATTTCAGTGTGTGGTGTGTTATACTGTACTGAGCAGACAGCCTATCTCTACAATCCCATCTGTCCTCGTACCATAACCAGATTCTCACTTCTCCCATGTCAACGTGTGTATGCAGCCCTGCCCCCATGCTAGTGAACAGATGAATTAGGCAAGTGAGTGGACAAAGCAGAAGCAGACTTCCAAGGATGCTTGACAGACTTCTTTATCAAACAAAAACAAATCACAAAATGATCTGACTGAAGCTGATACTCCTGTTTTCTAGCCCAAAGCACCATAGGGAGAGACTAGAAGGGTACCACTGAATTTGAAGTCTTTGTTGCTCAATTTAAAAGTTCAATGATTTTGTAAGGACTCTTCTGTGAACCTCTGGCCTTCAGTGGCCAAGTTATTGTCAAAGGCTCCTCATTGTAAGAGGAGGAAGGTATCAAATTCATTCTTGCACCAGCACAGCAGTGCAATACAAGGGAAGAACATCACGCTAGCAGAATCACTACAGTCCAGGCTTATTCTTAACAGAGTGAGACTAGGAGCAATTCTTCTAGCTGGAGGCACATCTTGGACACAGAGGGCACAACAGCTTTCCCCTTTCCATGTAAAAACGACCTTCCACAGTTCTGGGTATGCTTGTTTGCTCTCTTGATGGAGAGCCTTTGTGGAACACTGAGTAGAGGATGCACAGATACAAGCATGTGAGTTGTGACAACAGGTGAAGTCTCATTGTAGAGCAGGGTCCTCACACGTGAAGCACACGGGGATGCATGTTGTTTCTTCCCATGCATGACAGCACACCCCAACACCCTGCTCAGCAACGCAAAGCGCATTCAGTGAGAGCTGGTGATGCAAGTCTGATAACAGTTACACTGCCTGGCATTCGCTATCGCTCCTCATGAAGCTCCTTCTTCTGCAAGGCCTGCAGTTTGTTCCCAGATGTCTGATAGACGACTTCTAGGCCTTCCAAATCCAGCTCTTCCAAAAGCAGCAGGATGGCATTCAAGATGTTCTGTTCATCCAAGACATAAAAAGCATCAGAAAAGACTACAGAATAGCTTCTTTTCTCAATGCCTAGTCATCACTTGACTATTTTGTTCTTTCAAGTTTTATTCTGTTCAGTTCACAGCAATCCACCACTGAGATTCCATCATCCTTCTACCCCACTACTGGGGGGGTAGATGTCGCCCGGCAGAGATGGGGAGAATATCATTCCTGGTGCTCATGCCATTAAATAAGCCGGCCGCAAATGCGGAATGTTGCACATCTTGGTGATTTTATGTAAATTATTAGAGCACCGAATTTTATTATGTATGTAATATTGTTTTACTGTTTTAAATTTTTTAATTCGGCATTGCCGCTTGTTAGCCACCCTGAGCCGCTGGGTAGGGTGGGATATAAATCCATAAATAAATAAATGTAAATTCCCAAACTCAAGGAAGATAACTCTATTAGTAGCCACAAAAGCTAAAAGTGGGACCCCTTAATGAGCAATTGGGTTGACACACCATCATGGCCTTATAAGCTTCAGAGGGACACTAGACCAGGACCTGGTTGAAGGCCAAGGTAAAGGTTTCCCTTGCTCGAAAGCCAGTCGAATCCGACTAGGGATGTGGTGCTCATCTCCGTTTCCAAGCCGAGAGCCAGCGCTGTCCAAAGACATTTCCGTGGTTGTGGCCGGCATGAATAGATGCCGAGGCACATGGAATGCTGTTACCTTCCCACCAAAGTGGTACCTATTTATCTACATGCAATTTCTTGCTTTCGAACTGCTAGTTGGCAGGAGCTGGAGCCAGAGATGGAAGCTCACGCCGTCATGTGGCACTCAGGTCTTGAACTGCTGAACTACCGACCTTCCGGTCTGTGTCTTAACCACTTGAGCCACTGCAGCCCTTGAAGACCAAATACTAGTCTAAATAGAAATTGAGTCTGATTCAACAAGGCAACTCCAGCGTTCTTATGATCCCATCACATTCTCTAGGTGCCCCCTATGAATACTGCCAATTGCTTTGCCTCTTTCGATCCCTAAACGGGGATGTATTTATTTAAAACATTTCTATGTTGTGTTTCTTATTCAGGGTTCCCAAGGCAGCAAACATTAGAACAAAACATTAAAACACATGAGATTTTCAAACATTTAAAATACAAACATATATAAAATTTTGAAAACACATAATTTAAACACAGAGAAACAAACAGGTAGGAGGGCAAATAAGAGTTAGTGAGGAAACTATTCCATTCCAACTCATTCTGTTCCAATAGTTTCTTGTACCATTCATCTCTACCTGAGACTGCTCAAACACAATTCAGAAATACACTGCTATCGATAAGGAAGACCGATTCTCACACTCACCCGATTCTTTCGATTCCCATCCACTTCCCTTGGTGAGAAGGAGGAAAACTTATCTCTTGGAACAGGCTTCATACCAAGTTGCTGACGGATTTTGCTATATGAGAATGCAAGCAACAAGCTAAGCAAAGCAGCAGTCTTAGGTGATCATCACCCCCTGAAATGGGACAGCCTAGCAACTGAACACAAGAGTGAACATTAAAGATGTTTCAACATACATTGTGTGTCCTTCAAAATCATCTGCTAAGGGGACCTAAGGCCAGACCACAGCACAGACTCAGACATTCCATGAGAAGCCCAGTAAAGAAACCCCAATTACTGACAACCAAACCCTCCTCACTTTGTCTCCTCCAAACTGAAGTTCATGAGGTCATTTTCACTCTCTGCTGTAGAGTCTGTCACACTGGACTCCATGGTGGTGTTTTGGCAGCAGTTATCCAGGTCTAATTTGGCTGGGGGCGCTGTTATCTCTTCCCCTTCCAGAAGTGCATGGGACAATTCTTCCTCTGTCACCACTACAAAACCAAGAAGAAAGCAACCCTATGGCCACCACATACAGAAAGCTTTAAGGTGCTAAACATAGCAAACCATTAATAGTGTAATGGCCTTCTGAGTGATTTGCTCCATGCCACTGACAATGCTCATCACCCAAAGTCTCCTGCAGATATCTGGGGAAGGGGATTAGCCTACCTGCATAGTATGTTTCTGCCCACTAACAGCTCAACACAGCCATCAAAATACTAGCTCTCATGGGAGGTGATAAATCTCTACCGATTTGAACAAGACTCCATGTGGAAGGTCACATGATCTGAAGGCAAAAACATTTCCTGCACATAAAACCTAGCCTGTCAAGGAGCCTTGGGTTCAGACAGCTAGGCTTTCTATGTGGAAGGAATGTTTCCACATGGAAAAGCTTCCATTTGCAGACTCAAGTAATACAGTCCAGACACAGGTCTACCACCTCCATGCAAAGTAGGCCAGGACTAACAACTCAGCCAGTAGCAATTGCTCTTCCTGCACCAGCAACAGCATATGGGGAAAGTGGCCAAGCTTTAACTGCCCTTCCCTTCCTTCAGGCAGTTTGCACTGGTCCCCAGCAAGTAGCCAGGTTATACCAGAGGGTGAAACTAAACATTTGCACCTCCCAAAACCAACTGCTCATCATTCCTCCTCCAAAGAGATGCACTTGAACCTTTTAGAGAGGCACTTAGCCTGGACATCCAGCAACCACACCTCTACTTCTGTCTTGGTGCAAATGCAACCCATTTTCACAATATCAAACTGAAATCACAGTCCCTCAATGAGATTATGACAACAGGTTGTGCTTTGAAAGGGAGGACCCAGGAGGCAGTTTTAAATAGCTGATTGAAGCTGTTATGATGCACTTCATAACAAGTTAATAGGCTGAAGAACCCAAAGTGGCTTTTTTCATTACGCACACTGGTTGTCAAGTTTCTGGAGGTTGGGAAGGTTACGCAGCACAGTCATGCGATAACGATGAAGGTCTGGGCCACAGCAGGGATTTTCAGACAGCCAGAGGATCCTCAAGTGGGGTAGTTTTTTCAAGTGGAATAGCTCAGCAAGGCTTGCAATCCGGTTCTTCCTTAGATACAATTCAGTTAAATGCTGGCACTGGCTCACTGGCTCAAGGTCAGAGATGTTATTCACACTAGTTGGAAAGAACAAGTGAACAATGGAAACCAGAGACAAGCCTTATCTGCACCACATCTGTACAACGTAAAGCCCACAAGACAAGTTGCAGTCCTCTGTGCAGGTACAACCTCCCAAGCCCTTCAGCCATGAAAGTGGAGAGGAGAAAATGACTACATCTATACAGTCCCCTCTTCTCCCCAAGGTTCAAAGGCATGTGGAGCTTATGGTGCCAACTCTTCCAGTCTGTTGCTGCTATCTAGACATGCAGCACTGCCTGCCACTGAAATGACTCCTCCTGTCCAGCATGTGAATTTGATGGGAGAGTGAGAGACGTGTGCAGTGGCCACTGAACTTTGTGAAGAGGAGCAAGAATGTCTTGTTTTCAAAAAAAAGGACAGAAAATGAAAAAAACAGAGGGGCAATATAGTGAGATCTGCAGGGCAGGGGCAAAGTGGAAGAGGTAGAAGAAGGCAGAAAAAGGAAGAATGCAGGGTGCAAAGAGAATTGGAGGCAAGCAAAAGAGACACCTGCAAAGACAGAAGACTGCATGCATGTTGTAGGGTTGGGGGGGGACTCAAAATGGGTTAAAAATGTTAACTAACAAAAGTTGGTTCCTCCCCCATTGATAATGTAGTGACACAGCTGGGATAAAACAAGACTGGACCTCAGCATGAGCTGAGTTGTGCACTCTTGATCAACACACTCACTTGCAAGGGTGGGAGGACTACAATCTTGTCCCTCTTTATGAGCTGTTTCTGCATTGTTTCACAGCCAGCAAACTTGAAGCTGCAAGTTTAAACTTGTCACCATAAGCCCAAAATCTATGGATACTTCTTTATTTCATACAGTGTGCATTGCCTTTATCTGTGCTTGTCCCAGAGTTCTTCTGCACTGTACCATTCTCATTTGTTCTGCTATGTTCTTGTTTGTTCTAGTATGTAAATGCCAGTGCGGTGTTGTGGTTGAGAGTGTCAGCCTAGTATCTGGGAGACCTTGGCTTGAATCTGTACTCATGCCATGGAAGCTCACTGGGTGACCTTGGGCCAGTCACACACTCTCAGCCTAACCTACCTCACAGAGTTGTTGTGGGAATAATGTAAACTACGTTAGGTCCCCACTGGGGAGAAAGGCAGGGTATAAATGAAATAAATAAATAAATGTTCTGCCATGGTATATCTAATACTGTGAAAGGATACCCTCCCTGCCAGCCGCCCTGCCCTATGTTGACAGAATTCATTCTCAAGTCAAGCACTCTGATCAACAGTTAAAGTGAAATATTTATTTACTGTTCATTACCATTATACTTTGCATTTCACCTACATTGAATATTCAGATTTCCTGAGTTCAAATTCATAAAGCACAAAATACCTTGGAAAGACTACCCGTATTGTCCACCCTGCCAGTTAAGAGCCGCTTTGCAAGCCTTGCTCCCTCTGACCCCACCTTCAGAGGTGGTGTGGGTGGCAATCAGAGACAAGGCTTTTCCAGCACTCTCCACACAGTAGTGGAAGACCATCACTGGTTATGGTGCAACTGTTAGGACTTTCTAGAGAGCGTGGTAAAAGGGCCACTTCCCTCACCTTGCTGTGTTATGTCAGGTTCCAGCACTTACCTGAAAGTGATCACTTCAACATTGGGAAGCTCATGGCAGATTGAGATCTAGACATAAAAAGTAGCAGACAGCAGCTTTAGCAGCCTTGCACAATACCATGGAAAATGAAACACACATCCAACATTCCTGTTACCAATATTTTAGAATGGAAGTTTTGCATACTGAAGACAAATTCTTTGATGTTCACATAGCCAGAAGCCAAACCCAAAAATGCTGGATCAGACACTAACGAGACTTATTTTTGCACACAGTTGTAGAGGTGGACAAGACAACATCTACATCAAGGCAGGAAGCTCTATTCCCCACTACCGATAAAATATTGGCAAATATGTTTCCTTAGATGCTGCCACAGATGCTGGAAAAAGCAAGGGCACCAAGACTGCAGAGCCAGGAAAGAGACTGGTTTCACTGCAGAGCCTAGGAAGCTAAATGGCTCCAAGAGGGAAAATACTATACTCTGGTGTACAGTATAATACAGCATTTCCATTCCACTGAAAAGAAGCAGTTTGAGCTTGATTTTGTAAAAAGTAATAAACTGCAAGCATCTGCCCAGGAATGGTGTATATTTCCATACTAAGTCAAAATTTTGTGTCTGGGCAACCAAGATTTTACACCATGAAAAGAAGAGCTCTGTAATCTGTGTAAAGTATGCAAACTGAACAAATATACCAAATTTATATAGTTTGCATGTTCATTATCCTAACCATAAGAGTAAGGACACTGACATTCCAGCCACCAGATGTCTTATTTAGCCACTCCTATTTAGCCAGTCCCATGCCCCATCTAAACATAATCTAACCCCAATAAAGCTAGCCTTGGGTTTAAAAAAACAAAACAAAAACCAGTGGAAAAACTCACCAGAAATTACTCCCACCAAAACTAGGCCAAAGGCCAAGCACAGAAAGAGATTCCTTCTAGCAGGGTGCTTCCTCACTGGCAGTTCTCTCAGGGGCAGAGGTAGGCACTGACGTTTCCCACAAACCACTGTAATGCCACTTCCTTACCCACTCACCTCCATGGTTAATAGTGGCAAGAAGAAGGAATTTGGACTCAGATTCTCTCTCCTTCCATCCACCCCAAACGACTCTCAGTGCTCACTATCTCTGTGGGTTAGGCAAGTGCTCTGAGGCTACTCATACATGAGCTCACCCAGGGTCTCAGGCAGAGGTATTTCACATCACCTACTACCTGATCCCTACAACCTGGGACCCAATGGGGTGGATCCAACCGTCCTTCAAGTAGCCTTCCTAGAGCTTAAGTGGTTCTTCCGCTAACAGACTAATAAAACAAACAATACTTTGCTCAGTGGAGGGGTAGGATCCACCCCTCTGTATTCAGAGCAGATGCTCTAACACTGAACCACAGCCCCACTGTTATCCCCAGTCCTTTGTTATCTCTACTGACCACAGGAAGGGTGCAGACTGTTTGCTTCTTCAGTCCACCAACAAAAGAATCGAGCTCTCTGCCTCCCTATACTCTTCATTTTGAAATAAAGTTTGAATTGGCTTTGAACTTGCAAAGAAAGATGGTAATTCTGGAGCTAGCATGCTAAAAATCAGTGTAAGATGTAGAACAAAACCATTTGAACTGTTCTGTATCTCAGAGCAAACATGGCAATTTACAGTATTTTTAGAAAGACAGGAACAAGACTCACATCTGTTAGGCGGCTACCCCTAGAAAAGAAAAGAAAATTACTCAACAGAAGTCATATAACAGCATATGCTGTTAACAAACTGAAGCAGCATGGATACCAAGCAAAGAGGCAACATTGTTTATGCTATAGCAGCAAAAAACCCAGAAATGACTGAAGTGTATCTGAAGTCCACAGAGTTAGCATCACAAATGTATCCTTTACACTGGGCTATCTATTCCAGCTCTTATCCCAAGGCTCTACACATACAGGCCCCACCAACGGTTTCAATGGATGGGGAGTCAGAAAAGATATTGTACCTGAAAAGTTGCAACTCATTAAAAGGTGGTTCAGAAAACAAATGAATTCTGGGTATTCAGAGGGAATCAATGACACCAAAAAGCTAAATTTAAGCAAGCCATCACAAATCAGGCAACTGTGTTAGCTCCCAGGGCAGAACTAGGTGAGGGTAGCCAAATACTGGGGAAATCTGAAGGGAGGGCAACGATGCCAGTCAGAACCACTTCAAGGTAAAGATCAAGAAGTTCTGAACAGATGCTAAATGAACTGTTGAGAGCACCGCCAGGATAACAAAGTGGCTTTAATACTGTGATGTCAAAACCACTACCTGCAGGCCAAACTAGACAAAATGCTGGGAGATATAGAGAGGTGTTACAACCCTATCTCGGGCCCTTTTTTTTTTAACTGCAAACAGCTCCTTAAAGCTAAAATTCACCCCAGTGGGGGAAAGACACTAGTTACCTGTAAGGTTCCTTCATAGGTCAAAAGGGGGGGGGGGATCTTTGAGACAGGGAAAACAGCACAGAGGTAAAGCCAACTCCCTCCACCAAATGTTTGGGTGATCCAATCACAGTTCTAGGATTTTTGAGATGGGAGGCAGATTCAGAAAAGGATCCTTGAGGCAACCTGGCTTATCTCTGTCACCAACAGTAAGGGGCTAGAACTTTTTCCTCCTCGTCAAAAGGCTCTTCTTTCAAGAACTGAAAGGCAGGCAGGAATTCTGCAAGGAAAACATCCTCAATGAGCCTGCTGGGGAGGAAGGGGTGGGAACAACCTAACCGTTTTCTGCCAATTGTGTCGCTGTTACAGGCACAAGGAGTCCCGCCTGGGAAAAGCAAGCCCGGGAGGGGGAGGGGGGGCCTCGCCCTGCCTCTCTCACCCCTGCCTCTGCGGCTAAAAGGGTTGCGGGGGGGGGGAGTGGGTTACCCAGTCCCCTCCGCCGGGCGAGCTCCTCCCCGCCCCTCACCAGCAATTCAGCTTGCGGACGCTGCCCAGCTCTGTGGCCTTCGCCCGGGACAGCACCGCCTTGCGGGTGAGTTTCATGGTCCCGGCAGGGGCATCGGGCTTGCCGGGACGCGTCACCAAGGCCGCCTCAGTCGCTTCCATCGCGTTTCCAAGGGCGGGCCTGGACGCAGGCGCCATCGCATCCATCCCGCCCGCTCGCCACGGAGGGGTGGGGCTTCTAATAGGTCCCGCCCCACACGGTCCCGCCCCTTAACGGCACCGCGCGAGTCTGAGCCAACGACTGCATGGGCGGGGCTAGACGCGACAGAGTGTGGGGAGGGGAGGAGATAGCCTCCCTGCGAGTTACCTACGTCCTGGGCGGTGCGTCCCACAGCAATGGCTTAGGGTTGAAAAGGGAGCTTGTAGAATAAAATTCGAGTCCAGTGGCACTTTTAAGGCCAGCAAAGTTTTATTCAAGGTATAAGCTTTCATATGCATGCAGACGTCTTCAGATATATTGAAATGGAAGTTACCAGTCCATACATATAGGTAGAGGGTGAGCAACGAATTAGCATACAACATAATTAAGATGTTTAGCAGATGCAAGTAGGGTTGCCAGGTCTGGGTTGAAAAATACCTGGAGACTTTGGGGGTGGGGTTTGGGGAGGGGAGTACGAAGAAAGTGACCCTGTGGCCAGAAATACACTACCTAAATAGAGTGGAAAGCAAACAGCCCCAGTTAGCCTGTTTAGGGTTGCCAGGTCTGGATTGGAAAATACCTGGAGACTTTGGGGGTGGATCCAGGAGAGGGCAGGGTTTGGGGAGGGGAGTGGCCTTAGCATGGTACAATGCCATGACACCAAAAAGCTTCAAAGCAGCCATTTTCTCCAGGGAAGCTGATCTCTGCCAGCTGGAGATCAGCTGTAAAACCGGGAGATCCCCAGGCCCTATCTGGAGTCTGGCAACCCTAGATGCAAGTACCAAACAGGAATAGCAAGCTTAGTGTATATGGTCACCATTTGTTTGAATTTAATTCTGGGGGAAAACAGCGAAGCAAATAAATATATCAAAACTGGAGATCGATGTGTCAATATACCCTTCTTGATTGTGGAATGCTGAGAGTAATTAACTGAGACCCTGTTGTTACACTCCATCTGTCTTAAGCATGGAGGTAACTAACAGCATCCTTTTCTTTTAAGGTGGGGTGATTGGTTGTGCAGTGTTTTGTCTCCTCTCACCAGACCAGAGAAATACATTCCCATCTACCATTCCAAATTTCATCACATTCTGCTATTCATTGCTTTACATTATAATCACTATTCCAAATAAGAAATACAATAAAATAAAGAGGATGTATGGCCCTTCTTGGTGAGAATATAGATGTAAGGATTCAATGAGAGTAGTAGTATGTATTGAGATAAGAAACCAATGTCCCTGTTAAGCCCTGAGGAGGTTGTTCTGAGTGGTGTAATAACTTGTAATTCAGCAATTTCCCTTTCCAATCTCTTCCTACAGTTCCTTTGCCATAAAACAGCTACTTTGAGGTCACTCACTGAATGTCCTGGAAGGCTGAAGTGTTCTCCTACAGATTTCTCAGTCTTGGGAATGTTAATGTCAGATTTGTGTCCATTTAACCTTTGGCATGGGGTTTGATCAGTTTGTTAGAAGATGAGCAAGTGAATGAGCCTGAGATGGTGTAGTTGATGTTAGGTCCAGTGATCGCGTTGCCTGTGTGTATGTGGCAGCAAAGTTGGCATCTGGGTTATTGCAAGCAATGTTCCCTCTAAGCTGTGGAGCCTTGTGAGCAAAAATTCTACTTTGTGAGCTGCTGGCATTAAAGTTGTGAGTGAGCCATTTGGCTCCTGCATAAATCAGTTTGCTCTGGAGCCACCTCTCCTGAGCTAAGACAAAAATGTGTGAGCCGAAGGCTAAAAAACTGTGAGCTAGCTCACACTAACTCAGCTTAGAGGGAACACTGATTGCAAGCTCTGGTACCAGTGTCCATGTTCAAATTAGATGTTGTATCATTGTGGGCGAGGAGTTGTTTTAAGACTGGAGGGCTGTCTGTGTGCAAGAAAAGGTTTGCTCCTCAGTGCTTGTGAAAGAGAACTATCATTATCCAGTAGAGGTTGTAAGTCACTGATGATATGTTGAACAGTTTTGAGTTGAGAGCTGTATGTAATGTGACTACTAGCGGTATTCTGTTATTGTTTCTTTTGGGTTTGTCTTCTAATCGGCTTTCTCTCGGTATAATTCTGGCTTTGTTAATCTGTTTCTTGACTTCATCAGGTAGATATGTTCATTCCAAAAAGGTTTGTTGTAGATTCCTCAGGTGAGAATCTCTGTTTGTAGGATTGGAACAGATGTGGTTGTAGTGTAGAGCCTGGCTGTAGACAATAGATTGTTTGATATGTTTAGGGTGGTAGCTGGATGCATGTAGATATATTTGTTGATCAGTAGGTTTCTGCTATAAGGTGGTGTCTATGTGTTCATCATGTATTTGTACAGTAGTGTCTAGAACAGGGGTGTCGAGCTCATTTGTTATGAGGACCAGATCTGACATAAATGAGACCTTGTTGGGCCGGCCCATGTGTGTCATCAAATGTAATGCCAGGTAGCGGAGATATAAACTTTATAAAGAACACAAACGCAAAGGGTTTTTTTTACTTAAAATAAAAACATTTTTAAAACATTAGCACTCTTGCAATATTTTGTTTATTTAACAGTGTCTGATAACTGATACCTTTTGCTCTGGATTATTGCATCAAAATGTCTGTGCTGTTGCAATACTGAATATGCTGTTCAGGTGTGTATCTGCAAGCTGCAAACCTACAATGATGCAGCAGAACTGGAAGAAGAAGCAGAAGACAGCCAGTTCCACTGTGGGCCTGATAGAAGCCCTCCAGGGGCCTGATTCGGCCCCCGGGCTGTATGTTTGATACCCCTGGTCCGCATAGTCAAAGCAATGGTATTCCCAGTAGTCATGTATGGCTGCGGGAGTTGGACTATAAGGAAGGCCGAGCGCCGAAGAATAGATTCTTTTGAACTATGGTGCTGGAGAAGACTCTTGAGAGTCCCTTGGACTGCAAGAAGATCAAATCAGTCAATCCTAAAAGAAATCAACCCTGACTGTTCCCTGGAAGGCCAGATAATGAAACTGAAGCTCAAATACTTTGGCCACCAAATGAGAAGGGAGCACTCACTGGAGAAGACCCTGATGCTGGGAAAGCCTGAAGGTCAAAGAAGACGGGGACAGCAAAGGATGAGATGGTTAGACAGTGTCATAGATGCAACGAACATGAAATTGAGCAAACTTTAGAGGAAGGTGGAAGACAGGAAGGCCTAGCGTGATCTAGTCCATGGGGTCGCGAAGAGTCGGACTCGACTGTATGACTGAACAACAACAACAAGCACATCTTAAACTTCATCCTTCAAAAAGGATGTGGATGGAATGGAGTGGGTACAGAAGAGACCAATGAGGATGATCAGGAACCTGGAGACCAAGCCCTACAAGGAAAGGCTGAGGGACTTGGAAATGTTCAGTCTGGAGAAGAGGAGGTTGACATGTTTGCTTTCTTTAAGTATTTGAAAGGCTGTCAGAGGAGGGCAGGGAGCTGTCCCTGTTGGCAGCAGATAACAGGACTCTCAATAATGGGTTTAAATTACCAGTGGAAAAGTACCAGCTGGATTTTTTTTTACAGTAAGAATAGTTCAGCATTGGAATTTGGCTGCCTAGGGAAGTAGTGAGCTCCCCTTCACTGGCAGTCTTTAAGCAGCAGCTGGACGGACCCTTGTCTGATCCAGGCTTTAGTCTTATCCTGCATTGAGCAGGCAGGGAGTTGGACTAGATGGCCTGTATGGCCCTTTCCAACTGTATGATTCTATGAACTCTGTACACCGCACTCTTTGCTTTGGAACTGGCCCCAATGATACCAATAATGAAGCCAACAGCTAAGTAGCACAGAGAAAAATCCTATGAAATAAGTATTTTTTTAAAAGCCCACAGCAGATCTTTTCATTATCTTTTCCTGGGTCTTCTTTTTTAAAAACAACAACAACAACCCAGTTTTATTATTTTAAATAACAATAACAACAAATAATAATAATAATAATAAATTAAAAATCAAATAATAAAATAATTATAGCAACAGCATATTTCCAAGTTACACAGCTGGTACAATAGAGCAAGTGTTTTCCAGGATTGAAAAATTAAACATTTAGACCAACTAACCATTCTTACTATAACTTCATTGTTTATATAGCTAGGTTTGGTTCACGTGTGGTCTCTTGTCTGTTGCTTATGCTGATTAGAGGTATTTGTGTTAATTTATTGTTTGTTTTATTGCTTTATATTTTTGTTCTTGTTGTATTTTATCAATCGTAAGCTGCCTTGAGGATTTAAATCATTAAGGTAGCATATAAATATTAACAAAAAATAATTAAACACCCCCAACATATGACATCATGTACATCTTCTGCAACAAAAAATAACAATTCTGCATTTATTGTGTGGAAAAAATACATGTTTAAAAAGGCCCTCCATCTCAACCACCACAGTACCTTTCGCTTTGCTTTGCTTGATATCCTAGAAGCCCTTTGGTAACCTCAGTGTCTGAGAATAATGTAGTTTCCATCTTTTCAAAAATACATTTTACATAATTGTCGTTTGCTGTATCCTTTCAAAGAGCTATAAAAACGTGAAAAACAATTTTCTTTTCATGTGCACTCAGAGTCTCCTCCTAAACCCATTAGAGTTAGTAGGGACCTCATATGAGCCTAACAGTGCGGTCATAGGTGGAATTACACCCTTCTTAAGTCCATTGAGGTCACTGGTTTAGAGGGGTGTAACTCTGCTTGGGATGGCATTTTAAATGGACTTAGGTAAAGGTAAAAGTTTATCTTGCTCGAAAGCCAGTCAAATCCGACTCTAGGGTTGCGGTGCCTATCTCCATTTCCGAGCCGAAGAGCCAGCGCTGTCCGAAGACGTTTCCGTGGTCATGTGGCCAGCATGACTAAACGCCAAGGCATAGGGAACGCTGTTACCTTCCCACCAAAGTGGTACTTATTTATCTTCTTGCAATTTCTTGCTTTTGAACTGCTAGGTTGGCAGGAGATGGAACCAGAGACAGGAGCTTACTCCATCATGCGGCACTCAGGTC